ACAAGTTATATTTGATTTATTATGAAATTAATCATATAAAGCTCAACACTTTTATCATGTTATTATTAGTTAATTAAATTCTTGATCTTTAGCGTTTCTCATAAAGGGGGGGAAAAAAAAAATTCTCTCTAACTTTTCTTAGGAGGAAAGAAAGAATCATTTAACTTTCCTATCTATCTTTCAAGCTTGAGCAGCCTAATAAATAAGATAATAATTGTGGCCATTACAGAGTTTGTGGAAATGGGTGAACCACACCTTCATGATTAATGAGTGGTTGGGTAGCTCATGGACTGCGGGGCCTCGATGTCCATTCCATATATGGGGAACAATTTCAACAAATTAATACCCACATTACTTAAGCTTTGAACCACTAATAGAAATTGTGATTGATCTTCTTAGTAATTAATTAAATTAGGTTTTATCTCATGTCATGTTGTATCGGTGACCTAACTCCTTAGATCAGCATAGCCGACAATGCATTATTGAATGTGTTTACAGATTAGTGTAGGTCCCAGAAAAAACACTGCATGCACATCAACTTTCTAGTTAAGCAAAAGATTTTGGATTCTTGTTGATGAATCATATTCTAGCACTCCATTATACGTCTTTTGAAACTCCAATAGTGTTTCTACCTACTTTTAACTTTTCCATCTCTCTTCCCCACACAACAAAAGCACAAGAAGTTAAGAACATTACTAGCCACTCCCAAAAGATTAAGAAAATTGCTACTTTTTTTTTATTTAGAATTTTCATACTGAAACAATCATTCATTACATGAGTGATAGTTTTGATATTAGAAAGAATCTTAATAATTTTAGTTTATTTATTTTGTTTTGAGATTCATACCATATCATTCTATATATTTTTTTATGAAGACCCCTATATATTACTTTTCTTTTTATTTTTTAACTGCTTTATATGGCTAGTTTTTTTTTTTATCGGCAAATGTTAGTTATTAGATTAGCACCTATGGGAGAAAATCTCCCTACCCAAAGCACCTAAAGTGTTTGCATTCCCTTAATTCAACCCTCTACGCCTAGTTGGTTTATATATGGCTAGTTATATGATGACACTATATTATTTGTTTTTATTTTTTTTTTAATATATATTTTTTTTCAAATACAGAAGCGATCATAAATATCCACATAGACAATGATACAAAATAAAGGACATCAATTCTATTTTATAACCAACACAATCAAACATAGTTGGGATTTAGAATTCTATTAATTCTTTCTCCTTTTCCTTTCATTTCCATTTCCCTTTCCATTTCCCTTTCCAAATCCCCTAACCAAACACAACGTAAGTGATTGCACTCTCTTAATTCAACTCCCCTAAGGGGAATTGAATCCATGACTTCCTTGGGACTAAGCTCTAAAAAAAATAAGGTGGCCAACTAGGCTACACCTAGTTGGTTTATATATGACTAGTTATATGATGACACTATATTATTTGTTTTTATTATTTTTTTAATATTTTTTTTTCAAATAGCACAATCAATCATAAATATCCACATAGACAATGATACAAAATAAAATATAAAATATATATATATATAACATTTTTTTATTTTTTATAGACAATATTGGCAAGAATAATGCTATACAAATAAAATTACAGAATCTTATACATATGAAGTGGCTTTTAATGTCTTAGCATTTCAAACATTGTGTCTCACATTTTTAGAAATTTCAATGAAATATCATTGTAGATAAATCTTTTATATATTAAATTCGGTCAGTAGATCATTTTTTTCAACTGGTAAACAATGTAACATGTATGAATGGCTACCCATCCCTAGTAGTTAGTCAAACGGAGCATGGAGTGGAGGACAAGTTTATGTGTGACCGGTTAAAAGAATGGACAAGAAAAGTTTGGTATCCAATAATAATCCTTTAGTCATCCCCGTTCAACTTTTGAAAAGGAAAAAAAAAAATTAGAAAGTAGAAAAGGCATATGGAAAAATTATTTGATAATAAAACGTGGGGTGTGAATTTAATCTTAGAAAGATGTGGACATATTAGAATGAATCTCGACTGCCTATTTCATTTTCTAAAGATATTTTTTCAATCTCCATTATGTAGCATTGTTGATTTTGAAAAGAGTCTAATATGTCTTTAATGATGGGCATCCAATTACATGAGAGAAGACCTATGTTTGTGAAAAGAAAAATGATATACAAGTACATTTTTTAGATACATTTTTTAAATTTAGTGATGTGTTAGGAAAATGATTGGTTAATAATTAGAGAATATTTAATTATTAACCAATTATCTTTTTGACACATCACCGGGTCTAGAAATTGGGTCTAACTTTTGGCCTTGAATTGCAATGCTCTTGTGAAAATTAGCACTCGAATTTTTTAAGAGTTTGTTTGGTATCTCCTAAATAAGTGCACTTATTTGAGTCAATCACTTCTTTATTTTTCTGCACATATTTTTTTAAAAATTTAAAAATTTACTTATTAAAATCATTCCAAACAACCACTAAATATTAACAAATGCTATCTAATATTCTACTAACATCAATGCTAAAAAATAAAAAATAAGGTTCTGATAATGTAATAATAATATGAATGATTTGAAAATGGTGTAGTCCTACAACAGTTAGGAGAAGGTTTTCCTCCAACTCATTAGGTAGGAACTGCTACAACCCAATTGATGTGGGAGCTTATGATTAGCCAATTGTTTATATAATTCAAAACCCACTTAGGCTTGGTTTGGGAAGTGAGTTGGCTTTTTGACTTTTTTGACTATTTTAGCCTGGGTTAAAAAGCTTGGTTTGGGAAGGACTTTTTGACTTTTTTAGTTTTTTTGGCTTTTTTTATGAGAGAAGAGTGTAATGATTATGGGTTAGATGTGATGTTTTGTTTGTTGTGACTAAAATAACCTATTTTATTTTTTGTGGCTAAAATAACCAAAAAAAACTCTCAAATCTTGCTTCCCAAACGGTGCCTCACTCTTATTTACACATGAAACTTTCAATCCAAGTTAAATCTTTCTCTTGCAAAATTAATGTCAAGAATTGTTTTCAAACTATAACTCTTCCTTATCATTTAATATGATTGATATTCCAAATAAAACCTCTTCCTTATGATTTCCATTTGACTTTTCAAGAAAAATCTATTTTAAGAAAGAAAATAATAATAATAATAATAATAATAATAATAATAATAATACTTTGGGGAAAAAAACATTTAAAAAAAAATACTCATCTTTTTTACATTTGTTTTTTTATTTTTTTGTGGTGAAAATATCTTTTTAGTATTTATTTTCATCAAACTACTTTATAGTTAAAAAAAATCAAAAACAAATTTTGTTAGCTAAACTATAGAAAGTGAACTTTTCAAACAATTATTATGAAAAATATTATGCTAAAGTTTAGAGGCTCATATCTAGCAACCAACCAATTATAAGGTGTTACTCATTGTATACTATTGATGTATTGGAACGAATTAACTATATTATATTAAATTGGTTTCATAATTTAGAGGTAGTGAAAAGTTTGTCAAAAAAAAAAAAACACTTGAAAGAATAGAAATATTAATCAAAACAAAGAAAGATTAATTATCTAACCTAATGTTTTCGTTCGTTGAAAAAAAATTCACCACGTAAGTTCTTCAGTATTAAGGTCAAGCCACTAAAAAATATTATTGATATATGTAAAAGTAGAATAGTACGTTAAGATTTGTTTTAGAGACTCAAGCATAATACTGGTCCTGTTTGGTAGAACTGTGGAAAAGTGCTTATAGCTTATACCTTAATAGCTTATAGTTTATAACTATGAACATAAGCTGATTTCTGACTTATAAATTAAGCTTCTCCTGCTCCACTCAAAGAATAAGTTGATTTCTGACTTACAAAAAGCTATAAGCTGTATTGTTAAGCTAAATCAAACACATCAAAATAACTTAAATTAAGCTGAAAACTGAAATAAGCTGAAATTAAGCTGTACCAAACAGGGTCACTGTTCTTTTAGAAAGTTAAAATATATATTTTTAAATAGAGATTTATTAAAAATAAAATACTTATAAAACATGTTCTAGGATTCCTAAATCACATATTTTCTAAAATTTAAGGGTTATTTGGGATGATTTAAATAAGTGTATTTTTTGACTTTTTATGAAATATGGGTTGAATTTGGATTGGATTTGAAATGATGTGTTAAAAAAATGATGTGACTTAAATAAGATGATATGACTTACATAAAATAATGATTTTTTAATTTTTTAATTTTTTTTAAAACTTGCCAAGCATCCAACATATTAGGAAGTTTATGGAAAAGTGAATAAGCGGGAATGAGTTTTAAATTGTGTATTCCTACCTAATAGATTGGAAGAAAAACCTCTTCCCTTTAGATATGCACTACTTAATATGAAATAACCTTGTGGGACCATAGACTTCTACAAAAGGCAAAAATAAACAAATTAATAAAAAAAAAAAAATTACTTTGTAGATTCTTCTAGTGAGTGGGAGTTGAATTTCAAACATATTCTTACAAATTTTAAAATATAAATTAACTAATAATTAAAAAAAAAAGCAGAAAAATATATTGATGGTTTAGCTGTTGCGAAACAAAACCTCAATCTGGTAGGTTAACGGGCAGCGGGAGGCGGACGAATCATTCTCTTGATGTGTCTTTCATTCCCATGCGAATTCTTTCTTCACTACATTGATTCTTTGTGTGTGAGAGAAGGATAATTATCACATGATGAATCAAATGCTATCTACTCCTCTAATATTATATTTATCATTTTTTTCATTAATTTTTTTTTTTATATTTTGAACTATATAATTATTAATGGAAAAATATTAAATCAATGATCTTTATAAAAAAATAATTACAAATAAATGGTAAATTTTATAAATATTAATAATTAAAAATATAAATATAAATATAATTTTTTTTCTGTATCTACAATTATTTTTTGAAAAGTAGACTAATTTGTAATTTTGCCATTATTAATTCTCAAAACATACTCAGAAGTAATAGTCTTGTGTGGTTCAAATGGTCAACCTATGCAGAGAGAGATGCAGAGACTTTTTACAATTCCTCCTCCCCGACCACCACCACCACCTCCTCCACCGTTCCTTTCCCTTATTCATTCCTTTGATTAATAATCATACATAGCCACCCACCTACCCAACCGCAACCCCAACCCCAACCCCAACAATAAAAGTCTTCATCATTCTCTTCCCATTCCTCCTTATTCTTCCCTCCCCCCTCATTTTCCTCCTCACACTTCATTCACCTCCAAACCTTACAACAAGTTACCCTCACCACACCAGAACCCTTGTATTCTTTTTCCTTCACATCACAAACCCACATAATATTTTCACAAACATAGATGGGTTTTGACGATGATCTCTGTAATAACCCAGGCCTCGTTCTCGGTTTAGGTTTCACATCTTCATCATCGGCTGCTGCTGTGGAAACTCCGTCGATGGCTGATAACCAGAGGCCGAATAAGCTCGATCATCATCATCGGTTGGCGAAGAAGGAGGCGATAAGTTTGTTCGAGCCGTCGCTGAGTTTGGGTCTCTGTGGTGGAGAGACTTATAATCAAATTCAAGAAGCTAATAAAGGTTGTAATAACGAGTCTGCTGAGTTGTTGTTGTATCGTCAAGACAGTGGTACATCGTCGTTCTCTAATGGGAGTGTTGTGAAGAGGGAGAGAGAGGTTGGGAGTGAAGAAGTAGAGATAGAGAGAGTCTCTTCAAGAGTTATAAGTGATGAAGATGATGATGGTGGTAGTGCTAATGGAAGAAAGAAACTTAGACTCAATAAAGACCAATCTGCCCTTTTAGAGGAAAGCTTCAAGCTACATAGCACTCTTAATCCTGTACTCTCTCTCTCTCTCTCTCTCTCTCTCTCGCTTTTGTTTGATTTGTTGTTTTTTGCCATTTTTGAGGAGCAAAACTGGTTTTTGTTGGATTTACAGAAACAGAAACAAGAACTGGCGAGGAGGTTGAATCTAAGGCCTAGACAAGTTGAAGTTTGGTTCCAGAATCGGCGTGCCAGGTTTGTGTCCTCCACCCCACTAACACTAACAATCTGTTTGGATTCTTAGATTTTAATTAGAAAAAAAAAAAAACCTTTATCCGTTATTTACATGATTAAAGTCATGAGAAACAATGAAAAGCTCCAAGAAAATGACAAAAAATAATAAGAACAATTTTTTACCAAAATTATATATTTTTAATTTGATTAGTGCTACTCAAGTCTAAAATTTTCATAATATGAAATTATTCATCTAATATGAAAGTAAAAATAAAAAATATTAAAAAAACGCATATTAAGGAGTAGTAATACACAAACAAACAGAAAATATTATACAAAATTATGATGTGTTATTAAAAAAGTTTCCTTTAAAAATAAAATGTCCATCGTTATGAATATAATTTATAAATTTACCATATTTTAAAAGTAAATTTTGTATAAAATTGTTGATAATATATAGCATATTTTCAAATCGTAAAAATATCACAATCAGATTTTTTTCACCTTACAGGACAAAGCTGAAGCAAACTGAAGTGGACTGCGAGTTATTGAAGAAATGCTGTGAAAATCTAACAGATGAGAACAGAAGGCTACAAAAAGAATTACAAGAACTCAAAGCACTGAAACTGCCCCAACCCTTCTACATGCAGCTGCCAGCCGCCACCCTCAGCATGTGCCCCTCCTGCGAAAGGATTGGCTCCGCCTCCGCCGCCGCCGACACTACTTCCAAGATCAGCAGCCCATTTGCAATGGCTCCAAAGCCTCACTTCTTTAATCCCTTCACTAATCCATCAGCAGCTTGTTAAGTCATTTATTTGTAATTATTACTATTATAGAGAGCCCTCAGAGCCCTATCTTTTTTGTTGGTTAAGGGAAAATATATTGTATTTAGTGAAAAAAAAAAATATATAGGGAAGTTGATTTCATAGAAAATAGAAATTTTACTAATCAATCTGATCATCCTGTTTTTATTTATATATATATATATATATATAGGTGTTTGTAAATTATTAAAGAAGTATACATGTGTGAAGGGATTACTGTAGTTACTATGTTTGTGTTTAATATGTGGTACTTTATTTACTGTTGTTCACTTTCTCTCATGTTCTGTTCCTTTCATGCAGTGCCATGCTTTTCTGGTTGTACCTCTCAAAATTTCAAGCTTAATTATATTTGACGATTTGTAAAATTTTAAGTCCAAAAAAATTGAATAGATATATTCTTATCTTCTTTGGTTAGATTATTGATATTTTTTAATGAGTTTAAAAATATTAAAATATATAATATTTTAAAATTTTGTTAATCAATACAACACTCATTAATTTCTTGAGCCGTACTTCCGACTCCCAGTGACGTAGCATCATGGGATTGGAGAAAAATATAAAAATAAAAAAAAAAATCAATTTATTTTGTTGGACTAATCACACGCGACTCCTCAATACCCACTGGGGTCCCCTCAATACCCACTGGGTCCGAAGCTTTTTCCCAATTTCTTAGCTTGTTATAAACTACAACAAAAGGGATAATCTCAGACTACCATAAAAAAAATCTACTAGATGGGACCCTAATCACCCAACTTCGGTAAATTTGATGCGTAAACTGAATGTTGAAGTATCAGTTCCATTTTCTTGTCACGTTTTCTTATAATAATATTGTAAAATAAAAGGTGTCAATATCTATCTATCTATACTATTATAAAGTGAACACATAATATGGTGTCCTGAAGCTTGCTTTACTCTCCTCATGCCATGTGGCAGTATTTTTTATTTTTTTAAAAAAATTTAAACAAAGAGATGGGTAAGGCTTGAACCCATGACTATGGGTTTAAGTATGATGACTCATACCACTTAAGCTAAGTACATATTATATTATTAATTTTATTATTATTTTCTTTTATTCCTATTTATTTAATTTACACACATATCGTGTATGCCCAACCGCTAGTAATATAAAAGTCGATGATTAAAATAAAAATAAAATTATATTAAAATTATAAATAATAAAAATAATATAATTTTTATTTATCAATAAATCAATTGCAGAAAATATGATCCTGGAATATCATCCCAAAAGGTGGAGCTTAAGTCGAAGCACACTGTGGCCCAGATCGAAGGTTAAGAAAGTGAAAAGTAAACCGATGGGAGCTATAGATAACAATTGCCTTGGACGCAATCATGATTGGACAGTATCGCCTGGTCATAAGATTTATAAATTGGATTCAGCTTGTCTCAAGGTTGGATTATTCAGTTTGGTAAATTTATTTTTGTGTATTATTTTAATAATTTGAGCCGTTAATAGGTAGAATTTATTGAATATTATATTTTTATAAAACATTACGTTGATCGAATATCGATGACTATTTGATTGAATGGTGAAAAAATAAACAGTTGACAAAAATCTGATCCTATCAAATAGTTATTGATATCCGATCAACGTGATTTTTATAAGAATATAATGCACGACGATTTCTACACATTGAATCGTTTGAATTATCGATATTGAAACTAAAAATAGATCCATAGACTAGACTGGACGGTCTAATTTTGATCTCAAATACAAGACAAGTTAGACTCATATAAATTTGTATTGGATAATTAAAAAATATATAAAAATATGATAAATTATGATTATTAAAACATATATAAAAATATCATAAATTATGATTGGTAAGGATCTTTTGGGAAGAAAATAAAAAGTCAACTTTTAATTTTTTATCCATTTTGAGTCATATCATCTCACATTTTTTACCTATAAAAAAACAAAATAAATTAAAAAAATTAAAAAATTAACTTTTATGTTTTGAAAGTTGGTAAAAAAGATTTTTGACTTTTGTAATTTTTTGACTTTTTTTATAATAAAAAAACTTTTTTTCATTTTTGACTTTTTAATAATTTTATTATATAAAAAATTAAAAACTAACTTTGAGTGTGTGCAAAAATTGAGTGCAGACAATCTTAGGTTCCGTTTGCTAAGAGTTTTGAATCATAGTTTTATCCATTGATTTAAGTGTGTTATTTATTTTGAGCTTTCAAATCATAATTCTATACTCATTTCTCAAAACTCAATTCAAAATATAATCATTATTTTTTAAAACTTATAACTAAACACATAATTCAAAACTCTTTTCAAAACTCAATTCAAATCAATATTTTAATTTTGTTAAGATTTTAAATATTTTAATATTTAAATATGTTACGATTTTTTTAATTTTTTAAATTTTAAAATATTTTATAAAAATAAATTCAAACTCCATTTTATAATTTTTTTTTTTAATTGAATTTTAAAAGGAGTTTGGTTAGGAGTGTTGATCAGAATTTTTTTTGTTATGAGTTATAACAATTTGAATTAAGTTTTGAAAACTCTTTCCAAAACTCATAGCCAAACAAATTTTCTTACTTCACGTGTCAAATCAAACTTTAAAAACTCAATTTAACACTCTATTCAAAAATCATAACCAAACAAATTTTCTACACTCAAATCATAATTCCACAACTCACAAACTCAAAATACAACTCATACTCTCAAATTATATTTACAAAACTCTACCAAATGTAACCTTAATCTTTCATATTGATAGATATATATACATACATAATATAACATATATATATATATACTCACGGTTGCTATGTGTAAATATATATACATACATTATATATAATATATATCTAAGTAAATTGAACTTCTTTTATTTACATACGTCAAGGAATTTTTTTTTTTTTAAAGTATGGATTATCAATTTTCGAATCTCTGAGATTAAAATATTATGATTAAAAAATAATAATTTTATGATAAGAAATATATGATTTTATGGCCCAAAATAATATTTAGAAAATGAAGAGAAAATGCCCGAAATAAATAGTATTTAGAAAATGAGGAAAAATAGGTCCAAAAATAAATTTTAAAAGAAAAAAATTCAATTCACAAACCTCCCACAACTACCCACATATCTACGAACCCTATCCACATAACCCATAACATAAACTGCGGGCGATTGCGGATTTAATTTTTCGTAAATCACAAATATACGGATGGATCTAAACCGTAAATCGAACCATTCAAAACTAATCCGCAAGCACTTCTACTACTAGTAACCACTTTATACTGATAATAATTACAACTTTGTTTTTTATATTTTATTAAATTGATAATTTTTTTTATTAACCACACTCACACGTTGATACGTACCCTACATTTAAAGGGAAATTATTCAATATTTTTGGAATACCACGTATCCGTACTTCTTAACCAATCATTATTTAATATGCCCTCTCATATTCTTTAATCATCTAACACAATATCTCACCTACCTACCTTCTTCACCAATCACAATGTTATAAAATATCACGTACTTATTGTTGGCTTTTTTTGGCTTTCGAAGGTTATTATTTTAATTTTGAGCGTGCCAGTAAGGATCAATCAGTCCTTACAAAATATTAATTGCCAACCAATTATCAAGCGATTGTGCTTTAGTTTTTTCAGCCTCAATGAAGAAAACTTTTACTGGTGGCTTTGTTTAGAAGAATTAAGCAAACAATGATTAAATGAAGAACAATTGTAACATTTCATTAAGTAAAATGGAAGACTTACAAAGATCCAAATCAGTCTCGTAGAGGTTTACAGCAACAAACTACTTGAAACTACTCTTATGAACGAAGTGTAGTGCAAAAATTTGAAGTACAGAAATGTAAAGAGCAAGTAATATAAAAACTGGAAGGAAAATAAAGTAGATAAACCTGATTTTTTAGATCTGAGTCTGGGTGCTCTTTCTGTGACCTTCTCTGCTATTTATACTTCTCAATGATAACTGTCGAAATGAGCTTCTAACCGTCGAATCATCCTTCCATGATTGCTGATCATGTTTCCTCACAGTTAGCTTCACTACGCCATGTCTACAGTTAAGGTTCCCTCTTGATTTTTGAATTTAAATATGAGTAACCGTTAAAGACACGTCATCTTGTACCTCTGTGTGATTACGATTGAAGATTTGAATTGTCTTCCCATATTGCCCTCATCCTGCCATATGTTGAATTGTGATTGGCTTGTACAAAATATGTAGCCAACATTACCCCCCGCACTAATATACCCAATACTTGGTGATATTAGTAGATCAAGGTATTTTACCCACGTCTTAGAACGTGCATGGGCTTTGCACTTTTCAGAAATGCAACCGTCATTTATCAATGAAACATTTGTATTAAATTCTCTTCTATCCTTTGATCATCCCCATTATCTCAGTATTCGAAAAGACAGGTACATCTTTCATGGCGAAGCAAGTCTTTTCTTATGTTGATCAAGCATACGAAGAGTTATTTGATAATGTTGTTCGTCATCGAAAAAACCTTCATGCATTGATTAGCCACCTTTATCCGTTTCCATTTATATAAGTTATGGAAGCTTTCGCAAATCATCGACCTTCGAACCAAGAACCTACTGCTTACGATTCTTTGGAACACAAATTTAAGACCATGGATATCGGAAGCTCTTCTTCTGCAACAAAGCCATCCGCATGGGACGAAGCTGCTGCTGCTGCTTCTTCTTCTTCTACGACCTCCGGTTAGGGAGCTTGGCCTACCCCTACTCATCCTCAGACGAAAGAATGCATTCATCATCGTTTCCCTGAATTCGATGACCTTCTTGAAGTCCCCCATTCCAAACACAATTCTGTAGTATACCCATATGTTCCTATTATCCGTAGACAGAGTCTTAAAGACAATCTGCTTTCAGCATGGTATACTTCTACCTTGCCATCTCGGATGGTTCAAAGTGTCCCACGTCCTGATGAAGTTTTAGGGACCAGTCCTGCGCTTTTAGCCAAAAAAGCAAAACTTTATACCTCTGATTGGCTAGAATGTGTGGCCAGACCTGAATTTCTAGATTCACCCAGGGAACCTCTGACTACTCCTCATCTGTCTTCTAATCCAAATTGGATTGATGAGTTGAGGCTCACTCTCTCTGAGAGCCAATCTTTCCCCCTTAACGGGTCCTAGTGCCTCCAACGCCTTATCAGCAATTCAGGGCTCAGATCTTGCTTGTTGCCTTTTT